GTATAGACTTTATTATCAAAAATAAAGAAATATTTTTGAGAATGTCTGTTTTTTGGGTTGGCAAAGGGATCAGCAGATAACAAGTATAAAATATATACTTAAATAGTATAAAAATAATTTAAATATAAAAATTAATGGATTTATAAAATAATAACAAAACAGCAAGTGAATAACCATATGGATTATATAGAAAAGATATAAAGCATAGCTCAAATTAGGCAATAAGAAAGAAATAGACTAAAAGAAAACATAAGCTAACTTGTTACTATATAAAATTATTAGCTTTAATATTAGTTAACAAAATTATAATAACAAAATCTTTTGATATAAACTTTTAAATAATAAACTATCAACAAAAATAAACTGAGCACAAGAAGGCCAAATTTATATAAGAACAATAACTGCCTTTGGTACAACCAACAGAAAAATATAGAATATATCTTCATTAAATACTATGATAATTAGATAAGAACAAAATATATTAAAATCTTAAAAGAGGAAATATTAAACAAAATAAAAAAGAAAAAAAAAAACTATAATTAGCACAATCAATTTGAATTTATTATCAATGAGTTGGAAATAGTACTCTTAATAATATTACTTCAATACCTATTCGATATTAGTTCAATACTTAAATTTACTATAGATTAATATTATTTTGATACTACTTCAATATTGGTTCAGTATTTTTTAAAGTTTTAGTTGAAAAAAAGTTTAAGATACAATATATAGTCAAAAGAATTCATAACAAGGATTTAACAAAACTAATTAAAAATTTAAATGAAATAAAAATATAAAATATATTCAGAATAATTATAAACAAAATGATAAAAGAGCTATATAAAATATAGATATAAAAATATAAATAGTTTCAATAATAAGAGAAAGATAAAAATATTGACAAAAGAAAAAAAAAAAATAATAATAATAATAAGTAGACCAGTTAATTTATAGTACTTTTAAAATTACAAAAGGAAATCAATAAACAGGAAAAAGCATTAATTATACAAAAAAAATTACTAAAAAATTGATTAAATCAAGAAAAGAATATAATTAACTTTAATGTTTATTTTAATTTTTTATATAATAATAATACTAGTGAAACCTTGATATATTAATTTGACATATATCTTAGGAGTAAATTAATAGTAATAAGCTGATATAAAAGAAATTTGATATAGTTTAATATACATTTAGAATAGCTTATAAATAGTAATTCTTGTATAAGAAATATAAATGTAATTTAAATAAAGTATATTAGATAAAGTCTGACTAGTTAAAAAAAAAATTATATTTTATATATTTAATAAATAAAAAATATAATAATATAATACAGTATATACTGTAATTATTATTTTATAGATTATTAAAAAAATTTTTTAAAATTAAAATTTACTTAATTAAAATTTTGTTATTTTATATATTAATTTATTAAATTATAATATATTATATTTAATTAATTAATCAATATTAAAAATTGATTTATTTTAATATAAATTTAAAAATATAAATTATAAAAAATAAAATTTTCAATTATAAAATAAAAATTTTTATATCAAATAAATTATATAAAAAAATTATATAAAGCTTAAATAAAAAAATAAATAAAATAAATAAATAATAAATAAATAATAAATAAATAATAAATAAATTTAAAAAAATAATAATAAATAATAATATAAAATAAAATAAAAATTCTAAACAAAAATATTATAATTTCATTAATTTCTATAATAATGTATTAACAGGTTAAATAATTTTATATAAATAAAAGTTATTATAGTATTATTGTGAAACAGGCATATTGCCAAGTATTTTAAATAATTATATAAATTTTGTTTGTGAACCCTTTCACCTAAAGGTTGTCTTACTTAAAATAACTGCATCTATGGATGAACCTACAGGATCCGATGACGAAGTAGTGTCTATGGACCTTGATAGTGATTTTCCGGGAGATCAAGCAGGGTGTGAGGTGTCTGACAAAGCGAATGAGTCTGACAAAAATAAGAACCGCATAAAACAGAAATCAACGCAAGCGACTCAGCAAGTAACACTTCCTGATTCTGGTGTTACCACACAAGAACAAAACTTGGACAATCTAGGCTCTAAAAAGAGACAACCTGATTCCGTTGACACTCGTTCAACATTAAATAAAACTCGGTCAGCACCTGACAACAACGAAATGAAATCGAGTGAAGCTCAAAAAAAAGCCAATGGATGTAGGATAAAATTTAACAGGAATTTACCAAGACTGAAGTTAAATATTGGTAGGAACGTCCATGAGTCAGTAAATATGAATTCCGAGACCGGAACATTGTCAAATAAGGAGTCAGCAAATATAAGTTCCGAGACCGAAACACGATCAAGCAGGAAGCTACTTGAGTCAGCAAATGTAATTTCAGAGACTGGAACGCGATCAAGAAAGTCTGTTGATTTGACAGCTCAACCAGGTAAAAACGCGAATGTTACAGAAGGAAACATTATTCAGGAAGAAAACAAAGGGAAAAGTTTCAAAAGTAAAGAATATCGATTAGAATCTAGTGGCACTCCGTCAAAATCTCAGAAAGAAAAACGAGAATTTGCAAACACTCCAAATAACGAATCCACGAAGTCAACACCATCAACTGTTTTTACTCAAACGCAAAAGATGCCTCCTCTTGTCGTTCAACAAGCGCAAAGTATGAAAATACCTCCATTCAAACTTAATCAGCCATCAGTTGTCTCCCAACAACGACCAAAGTTCAAAATGTCGCAATTATTAAAAAATAACGGTCAAATGTCACCTGCAGTTTCGCACAAACAACCTAACATTAAACAAACAACGACGACTAGTGTCCTACAACAATGTAGACCAAATAATAACGTGCGACAGCTATCAACAACAATTCAGTCAAATTATCGATCTTCCCGAGAACTTACGATCAATAATAATTCACAATATTTGCAACATCAGCCACACCATCCTGTTCAGACGCCACCAAATATTTCGCAACAGAATGCGCAGGAAACGCATAACAACCATAAACAGCAATCTGGCTCGCCGCAGTTACATAATAACTTCCAACATCCTATAAACAATCATCAATACGTTCAGCCTCAGTCGGCTATGAATGGTAATTCACGTTTCGGTCCTCCGTCATCAAATGCTCAACGATCATCTATGAACAATCAAACACCCTTTCGATTACAACAGCAGGTAAATTATCATCAGTTCAATCAATACCAGGCTAGTCAGCATCCTCATCGGTCGAACCAACAACAAAGTCGACAGAACGCGCAACCATCTAACGTACCAAGTAGACTGCCCCATTCTAGGTCAAACGTGTTACCAACCAGGAACCATCAGTCAATCCCTTCAGCTACCAGGTGCGATCCTAGGGACAAGAATCAACATAATAAGCCCCAGCATAATGAGATCCGACTTGATCAAAGAAGTTCAAAGTCTAGCCCACCGAAGTTGTATAGTAACATATCGACGGTTTCGCAGGATTTGCAAGCGAAATCAAAGACTTCAGAGGTTAACGAAGCTAACTGTGACGTGACGATGCCGAATTCCGATAAATCTAGGTCAGACAATATAAATAATTCTTCTGTGACATCAAGTTTAAAAGAAAATGATTTGACAAAAGTTGTGAGATCGGAGGTAAATGGTGTGGATAAGACGGACTTTGACAGTGGTGTTGTCGCATCAACAAAAGAACCCGATAGAAGTAATGTCGACAATCAACAGGATTTACCAAATCAGGACGAGGCCGCGAAATTAGTTGAAAGTAGCTCGGATAATAATGAAAATGGAGTCAATTGTAATGTAACAGATCAGTATGAAAATTTGGAAACAACAAAAAAGGTTGATAAGGGTAAGAAGGTGTTGGTTGAAAGTGACAAAGATTTAATTGAGAATGTAGAAGATCCACCAAGTAATGCCGAAGCCGATTCTTCTCAGTCCGATGAAGTTGAATTATTACCCAGTGTTCTTGAAAAATATCGAGCCGTGAGTTATTTCCATTATATGATTCACATTCTTTCAGAGATTTTTTAATTAGCAAGCATAAATTGTCATTTAAACTTTTTCAGCTCGATGAAGCTCTGTACGAGTTCGATGAGGCAGCTCAAATGGCATACTCTGCGTATCAGAATCTAGAGAAGTTTTTGCCACCTGGGACTTTCATAAAGATTGCACCACCGAGTTCGTTTAAATGGAATATGATAGCAGAAGTGATGGGCGTTTCTAAAAAAAGGAAAATTTCCGATTCTTTTCCGGTTCACGACACGCCTGATGAAATGAATGGTTATCAAACACAAAATTCTTCTATGGAGGAAGAGGAAATTAGGGGTTACACTGTAAGAAAGAAAACCAAAAAAATTTCTCGGAATGATGGCAAACAGTCTGAGATTAACGTGTCTGGAAATGAACAGTATAATGGTGAAGATGAGGAGGAAGATGAATCGATGGATGAATGTACATCTGAATCGAGAATTCTTGAAGCATCGAACGCAGAAAAAGTACATAACACACGAAGCAGAAGGACGCCTAGTGTCAGCCTGCGAGATAACAAGAATGTAGAACTCGCCACCTCTAGTCAAATAAAGTTAAAAATAAAGTCCGATCTGAATGAAACTGGCGAAACGCCCTCAGAGGTGAAAAAAACGAGTTTCGATAATCAAACGGAACCTAGTACGATTAAGATGGGAAAAAAGAAGGTAGATTTCTTGCATATTTTCAAAATCGCGAAAACTTTCAGCTGATGATAAATTTTGTAATTTTGAACGAAAGACACCGAAAGCAAAATTTATAGATCCCGGTAAAGATTTTAAGTGGCCACTAAACGCATTTGGCATCTTTTGCTCCGAATACTATGACAAGTTGGTAAAAGTCAACGAAGAAATCACTTCCATTCAATTCTACAAATCGGCCGCTGAACAATGGACAAATATAACACTTGAACGGAAAAAGGTGAGAGTAAAGATGTCACCCAGAAATAAGGAACTTGTCACATGTATAGTATAATAAGAATTTTATTTTTAGATTTATGAGCAAAAAAGATTAAATCTGCTTGCGCAACATACACAACCGCGATTTAGTGTCTCCATGGGAACAGACGCATGAAAATTTAAAGTTTGTTGAAAAAAAAAAAGGTAATTATTTCATTTTATTTTCTCTCTTTTTTTTTTTTTTTATTTTTTTGAGGGAACAAAAAGGATCTTGCAGTGTAAGCCGATAAAATTATTTTGGTTCAGTTTCCACGAGTCAGCACCGAATTTATGTTAGAACAATTGGCTAAGTTATCTTCCGATTTATGGCGAAATTATCCATGCAAATTTCCTTCTGTTTCTATCTCTTCAATACAAGTTGATTAGAGATTTTGTTAGGGAAATATTGGATTGTATCTTTTTGTAGAATAATGCTTAGTCGATATCGAAAAATTAAATAAAATGGATGCATTTTGTTTACTTAGGTAAGTGGATGATAATAAGACGCCATATTTGGAAAATGTAGGGAAATTCATATTAAAACGGGTAGTAATTAATCACTGGTGGATGGAACTCCAGAGATCCCAAATTTTCTGTTCAAGATGGGATTCGCTTGATATTTGTTGATTTAAATAAGTGTGTATGTGAAAATTTTTTGGAATTAACAGTTTTTTATTCGTTGATACTCAAATTTACCAAGGGAATACGAGCGATAATTGATTATAAGAGGGAGCTGTTGAGTGAAAATCTAAAAACTTGATGTTTTTAAAGTTACATTACACTTTCAACCCGAATATTTTTGTGAGGATGAAAGGACTCCACAAAACGAAAAAGTCGTTCCTTAGTTAATTCTTATTGCTACAGGTTCAGTGATGTGCCTGCCTACCTCTGTCATTGTTATTTTTTTGAACTTGAAAGATTATACTTGGTCACAGTTTTTTTGTTCTAGCGTTACGCAAGTGTTGATTTAAGAATATTTTAATAAGAACTTTGAAGCCTGCAGAACTTAAGGTGTATTGGATAATACCGAAGGCGAAAGGCATAATGACATCAAGCCTTTGCTCATGTGTCGCGCGTTCATCATCCTGTTTCTTTTCTAAAGGACAAAAAGTTCTAACCAACGAATTATCAATTTTGCGATGTGCAAAATAAATCCGCCGCTACGATAGATTTATATTTGAGAAAAAGAACACTTGATGTACAATTTTTTGTTTCTAGTAAATATAAATGAGAAAATTCGTTTATTTCGAATATCAATGATGTGTGATTCATAATTTGCTTCATTCACCTTTTTCCTAAATCTCATTTCTTGATCAATCGATATACTACCACCATTTCTTTGAAAAAGAAAAATATTCGAAGGTTGGACATAATAAGACCGAAGATCAATCTATTGGAAATGCAAAATCCATACTGTTTGGAGACGAGAAAGTAGGTTAAGGCGTTCTCAAATTTTCTCGATATTTGAGACATCCTAAATTTTAGTTCAAAATACCGATCGGCTTTATATTTTTGAATATAAAATGTTTAACTTGTTCCTGTTTCCCATTATCATTAATTTCTTCATTTCATGACAATACCTTACTTTTCGTGTACGAGGCAGTGACACTATAGGCACTTAATAAGTTAAATAATTACTGGATAATTCAAAAAGGAATATTTGATTTATTTGCTTAACAGTATCTTACAATAGTTTTAAGATTTTGTAAAGTACAGTATTCTTTTATTATCGTTGAAAAAATATTTATACACTTACAGTATAAAATAGAAATAATTTTTAAAAAATAATTATTAATCATTGAAAATTTTTTATTTTTTTTTGTTCTCGGTCTTCTGGATTTAAATTAAAAAAGTTATAAATAAAACCAAAAAAAGAATACTAATATTCACAGATCCAATATTTACATAAAGTTATCTACAAAGAACAATCCGAGAATTTTAATCATGTGATCAGAAGGCATGCTATGATCCATATTTTTTCATCGTTTCCTCTTCAATAACTTTTCTTGGTGCCTTTCTTCCAGTCCAAGCTTCAAATTGCCAAATTCCCTGTTCAATTAATACTTGGATCCCTTCAACCA